CAGCCAGATGCTCGGAGGCCTTATGGAAACAGAGCCTGACTCCTCCACCCCGTCTTGTGGGAGGAAAGGGTCCTCAGGGCCTCACCAGATGGGATAGTCACTCCCTTCCCGCTCTCTCCAAAGCCTAGAAATTTATAGGCAGACAGCAACATGTGGCTTTGGGCGAGTTCCCAGCTGAGTGGGTGGGGGAAGAGGAGAGGGGCTGGAAATTCCTGAAGACTCGTCTGCTGGGGGACGCAGGAAGCTTCTTCCTTCTGGGTCTCCTCGGCAGCCCTTGAACCGCGGAATGTATCGGAGCCCTTCGTGCTTTGTGACAGCCTGCTAATGAAAGGGAGGCCAGGGCTTCTGCATCTGCCTCCTTTGGTTTCCAATTTGCCCAGGATTCTACCCCCAGGAGAGGGCAAGTAGCTTGGAAGCCAGGGAGGCCCCACAGAGCCCTGCAGCCTGTCAGCAGGGCTTGGCTTGAAAGGCCCCTGCCGAGGGCCACCCAGGGGGCTGCCCCCAGTCCCAAGTACCTGCCAAGGACGTGAAACACGCCCCGGGATTAATGGGAACCAGATGGGAAGGACGGCCCCTCCACCTGGCCTCCACCAGAGAACGGCTCGGATTCCTGGCACTGTGGTAAAGCTTTTCTTAGGATTTCTCTGATACTGGGTTTCTGCTCCAGGCCGCACGCCCGGGAACACAAGCCAGGAGTCGGGGGCTTTCTGTCCAAATGTAAAGAGGAAGCTAGGCGGGACTTTTGAGGTTGCCCGGTGCCATAGTTCTCAACCCAGGCTGCTATTAGGACCACTGGGGGCTTTTTAAAACTACTTTGTCCTGTGCTGGAGCCCAGACCATGACATAGAAATCTCTTGGGAAGGAATCCAGGTGTTGCTTTATTTTAAAAGCCCCCCAGATGTTCTAACAAGCTGCCTAAGTGGGGAAGCACAGAACTCTTTCTTTATAGAGGAGGAAAATGAAGCCCAGGTGAGGAAGTGACTAGCCCAAGGTCACACAGTCAGGCCCGTTACTGTGCCTTCAGCTTCCAGCTGAGAGTCTGCTCTACCAGGCCTCTTCTGTGTCTCCAAGACCCACTGGCCCGCAGTTTCAGCTGAAGATTGCAGTAGCTTTGTTTCTGCTGTTTTTCCAGTTTCTGTCTCATCCCTCCTCTGAAGCAGCCATAAATGCCTCTTGTCTAGAAGCTCTACCTGACTCTCTAGCTCCCTGGCTTGTCCTATGCGGACCCTACACAGCCTTGCTACTCCAAGTGTGGTCTGAGGACCGGCAGCCCCAGCACCATCTGGGAGGTCGTTGGAATTGCCTCAATGTGTCTCAGCTCCCAACCCAGACCTACTGAATCTGCATTTTAGCAAAATCCCCGGGCTTAATATTCCTGAGCACATTAAAGGTGGAGAAGCACTGGTATTTGTTGTTTGACACACGCCCTCTATCAGATTCATTTGTCTGTATTTGACAGACCAGGAAAATTGCCTTCTCCTTGAGAAAGGGGCCATGCCTCAGGCGTCTTGCATAGATCACATAACAACATGGCACAGCACTAGGCACACAGTAGGTGCTTTTTACCTTTCTGTTGACCCGAACTGTTTGCAGTGTGGACATCTCAGGAGGATGGACACGGACCCTTTGTCTGAGTCCACAGCGCACAGGGGCCCTGTTGACCAGGGGGAGTCATCTCAGCTGCCGGGTGGGAGACTCCACAGCGGAGGGACCCCAAGAACAGGGTAGGAAGTGAGCAGCTTCTCGTGCTGACTCTGTGCCGCACTCTCGACCCACCACAGCCACTGCTGGTCTGGGCAGAGCATGCAACTTTGTCCTTCGACTTCCTTCTCTCCACAACGGGAATGAGAGTATCTGCTCCACCTTCTGGGGCCTTCTGGGGTCACCTCAAATTTTGGGCTATTAGTTGGTAGCCAGGAAATGCTTTGAATGGGATCAAGTGAGATAGTGGATGTGAAAGTGCTTTCATACCTTCAGATTTATTCACAGGTAAGGCCATTTTCTTATCCCTCCCTTCCTCATTTTCTGGATGAGGATGAGCCAACTGAGACTTCATTCTCAGCCCCATGCTTTTGGGTCCTGGGTGAGACTGAGGCAGAAACAGTAGCCCTTGGAGCCACAGTGGGAGGCTCCCTAGAAGAAGGGGTGCTCCTGAGGGAGCAGAACCAATGTTCCCCAGGCCGGAGCAGGGACTCAGCCCGGCCAGCCAGGTCCTAATGGGAGAGGGGATGAAGGAGACGGAGACTAGCTCCTAAATCACTTTTAAAAAAACCCACTGCTCCCCACAAGCATGTCACGCGGTGCTCGTTAAATGTGTGAGCACCTTCACCAGAGGCCCGTGCCGTCTGGAGGCTTTATCCTTTGCCCAATAACCATTAATCAGCCCGCAGCAGCAGCACAAGCCCTGTGAGGGCTGGGTCTTGCTGGCAACCACAATCTGTTCCTATTTCATCTAAAAAATGAAATGGATAGGATGTTGTGTTTTTCCCCCACCCCCGGCATGAAAGAATGAAGGATCAGAGTTCTCTCCCAACCCCCACCCCACCCATTGATGAAAAATTAACCAGCTGTGCAGAATGAATGAGTCCCTAAAGGGAAATGAGGTCTCTGATGTGAGCTGGGCTAGATTCTGGGAGCTCCAAAACTCTTCCCGGTCATTAACTCTCCCGCCCCCGGATCCTTGGAGCAGCCCCGGACAGGTGTGTGCAGCATGCTAAATGGCGACTCCTCCCACAGCCAGCTGTGCCCAGCAACTGGTGTTGCTGAAAAGGCCCTGTCCGGGCGTTTGATATGATGTGAGTGCCTGTATGCTTTGGGGGCACGGGAGTAGCTAGAAGCACACTTCTTATCTACTTCCATCCCCATCTACCCTTCTGTGGGCTTCCTCATCACAGAGGCTGAGCCTCATTTGCATCTGAACCCCAGTTCCCGACAGAGCCTGCCATATAGCAGTTGTAGTAAATGAATGAATAAGTGAATGAGTGAGTGAGGGCTTGCTCAGGAGCCAAGATTCTACTCCACTGGCTTGCTCAGTCCTTGGGACGCCATTCATCTGAGTACTCACTCATTCAGTCAGTCAGCAAACATTCATGTAGCAGTATGATGATAAAGGGCATCCAGTTCATTCATTCATTTACTTTCATTCACTCGCTCCATGAACACTGGATACCAGGTCTTATCCCGGGGATACACAGATGAAATGCCCCCAGAATACTCATAATACCACAGAGGAAACATATTAGTAAGCTGCAAGCAGCAAGAGGTGTGCTATAGCCCCGAGAGTGAATTCCTGCGCGGCTGAGGGAGCCCAGAGGAGGGCACCCAACTCCAATGGGGAGATGGGGGACTTTGGTGGCAGGGACACCTGGGCTGAGCCTAGAAGGGAAGACAGGAGTCACTTGGGCAAAGCTGACAGAAGGGGATTTCTGGCAGAGGGGGTAAGCCAGACCTGGGTCTAAGGCCCACACCAACATTAGGAGACCAGCAGAGCTGGTATGCTAAGGGCCTCCTACCCGCTTTCTGCCCTGAGCAGCTCATTTGCCCAGACCCGGCCCTGGCAGGATGGCAGATGGCATGGAAGAAAGAACAAGGGACAGGAGACACAGCTCGTGTCATCATCTCTGGGCTGCACTTCCTCAATTGTGCAATAGGACGCAAGTGAGAGACCCTAAGATTCCCTGTCCCCCGTCCCACACACTGCAGATTTCCAAAAGGTTCTGTCCTAGGAGCTGGTTGGGAGCCCTGAGGAGTGGCGTGGAGGGCCAGGCCGATGAGACCCTATTCTGATGCTTCTCAGCTCTGGATGCTTCTCCTGCTTCCCACTCCAGGCCTGAGTGTGCTATGTAGCCTCCCAGGACCAATGTGCCCAGAACCCCCTCTCCCAGAGCAAGGACCAAATCGTCCTCTCAAGTCTTAGGCTAGCTCATCGGGAATCAGAGGGGCAGTTCTTCAAAAAGCTAAACATGGAATTTACCACATGGCCCAGCAACTCCACTCCCAGATATATACCCAAAAGAGTTGAATACAGAGGCTGACAGGTAATTGTGCACCCATATTCACAGCAGCATTATCCACAATAGCCAAAAGGTGGAACCCACCCAGTGTTCATCAACAGAGGAATGGATGAGCTAGATATAGTGTATGCATACAGTGGAATAGTATTCAGCCATAAAAAAGAAGTCTGGATGCTTGCTGTAACAGGGATGAACCTTGAGAACACTATGCTAAGTGAAAGAAGCCAGACACAAAAGAACAAACATTATATGATGTCACTTATGTGGAATATCTAGAATAGGCAAATTCATGGATGAAAGCAGAAGACAGAAAGCAGGTAGAGGTTGCCAGAGGCTGGGAGGTGGCAGGGGGGTAGGGAGTTACTGCTTCAAAGGTACAGAGTTCCTGTTTGGGACGGTGGGAAAGTTCTGGAAACAGCAGTGAATGTAATTAATGCCACTGAGCTGAACATTTAAAAGCAATTGATAGGGCATATTTTATGTTACATATGTGACCAAATTTTTGAAAAAGAATCCTAAGCCAGCTTTTGCAGAACCCAGCCAATCAATACTTGGTCTGACAGACCCTCTCTGGCTTGCCTCCCTGCAGGTTTCCTCCCCCCAAGGATTTCTCTCAGCATTTTCTGCCAGGCGGGTGTGTTTCATTTTGTTTTTATTTCCTGCATCTGCACTGCTACCCCAGAATCTATTATTGCTCTCTGGGGCTCGTGCCCCTGACAGCGATTATTTGTACATGTAAATCAGAGAGCCCGGGACAAAGCTTTAATGACAGCCTCTTTGGTGGTGGCGGGGGCAGCCGGAGGAGATGAGTGAGTGCCAGCCCCTGCTGGGCTCACTTAGGTGCCCGGTCAGGCCCGGGGTGGGGTGGGGCTGAGGGACTGGTCGATTCTGGTGACATGCTGGTTGACCGCTGTGCCCTCTAAAGGCAAGATTCATTTTCAAATCCCCAGTTCCTCTTGCAAGGCTGGGAATATAGTGGGCGCTCACCTTAGAATGGTTGGAACTTAGTCGATCTAGACGCGCACGGGAAGGTGGCTTTCATCCATGAGGTTGGCAACAGCGAGCCCTTTCTTCCCTGCGTCCCTTCTCTGTCTCTTAGCAACTTTGCCGTCCTGGGGAGCAGCCTGGGGCTTCTCGCAGACCCAAGTCCACGTTACTTTGTACTTGGGAAGGACTTGCCCTAGAAGAGAGGAAATGCATCAGTTCAAGACTAGGGCATTTATCTGTAAATGTGAAATGAGGAAATGGGAGAAAAGGTCCAGGGTGAACCAGAATCTGGAGAGCAGGACAGACTATGGGTGTTATTGGGCTTGTTTTGGGGAAAGGGGAGCAGTCACTGTGAGCTTATTTACAGGATGACACCAAAGGGAAAAAGCAGGATACAGAACAGTGTTATTGAGCCCGCTGTAATTTATGTCAAACACATAAGTGTTTGTATGTGCACAGACTATCCCAGGAGGTAGGCATAAAAACTGTAAGAGTAGTTGCCGCTGGGGCAGAATGGAGGAAAAGGGGGATTCAGGGCCAGAAGTAGGAGAAATACTTTGCTTTTTATCTACAGTATTTCGTGCCGCTTAAATTCTTGTCCTTCCTGCCACATGCTTTTAATTGCCTGGTCACAAAAACAAATTTTAATTATTTTTTTAGCCAACACCATGTGTTGTAAATGAGCAGGTGGCTGCCTAATGGGACAGATGAGTGACGCGTAGCTCTTGCTCCCTTTGATTCCTCTCTGTGAGTGTTTTCTAGAAGGGAGCTGGAGAGTGGGAGGGGCGGTGGGGGCTCTGTGTCCCAAGGGTCCCTCTGTGTTAGGTGTTTCTTGAATTTCTTTCTTGGGAAGAGCTCTTCCTTTTCAATAGTTCATTTCCTTGTTCTTTGTCCCACCTCCTGGACAAACACTTCTGTGTTGTGTTGTATCTGAAAGATTCCCCTTCTTAATCCTTCAAGGTCTTTTGTCTTTTGCAAATCTTTCGTATTCAAACTTTGGGAAGAATCAGTCTTATCAGTGACCAGCCTCATGTGAAGTTAGTTTCTGTTGGAGTAAACACACACACACACACACACACACACACACACACACACACACACACACACAGTCCCTGGGGATATGCAGCATCTATCCCCTCCCACCCCCCTTACCTCTTCCTCAAATGCCTTCAAAATGGCTGTGGTTATTACCTTTAATCTCGTTTCCCCAGATATCAATGGAGGGAGGGGGAAAAAATCAGAATGTTACAAGAATATTTTCAGCAATGGAAAACTATGTTCAGGAAGGAAGTTGTCCCCTAAGGTGAACTCCGTAGTTCACCCCAACTAATGTTGTAATACTGTTTTTCTTAAACAACAAAGCTTCCTAACATTACTGTCCTGCTTAACTTATAATTTCAGATAATTATTTCCCTGTTAACTAGAGGAAATTAACACATTCAACTGAAATACAAATGATTCTTGTTTGAAGTTGTTTTGAATCTCCCTGTGAAGGAACTAGTTGTTATTGTATTTTCATTATTTTCATTTCCACCAGTATTTATGGGCTATCTCCTTTGGGGCCTACCAGAACTGGGGGGCACCCACAGCTGAGACAAGTCCCTGCTCTTATGGAGCTTGCAATCACCACGGGCAGTTTTCTCTAGCCAGGTGGCCAGAGGAGAGATGTAGAAATGAAAAGAAAGGAGAGATCAGCACTGAGTGGAGAAGGTAGAAGCTGGGGTTGGTGGGGTAAGAGACTGGGAGCTGGGCCATAAAGGATAAAGGGAGGTGTGAGGGTCAGGGGACAGGGTGGGAAAGAGGGACAAAATGGCAGGACAGCATGAATGAGCAAAAAGGCACGGGCCAGCTTTCCACAGTGCAGAGACTGTGTGGTGAGGACACAGCTTGGCAGGATGGAAACGGTGTGGCTTTAAAGTAAGGCCTGAGCATCAATCTTGGACCTGCTTCTCTCTAGTTCTGTGACTTTCAGGATGTTGTTCTTCCTAAAAGTCCATTTCTTCATCTGTAAGAGGAATATGGTGATGTGCACCTCACAAGGCTGTCCTGAGGATTACACAAGATGACGAATGACACTGGGAGGTGCCCAACAATTGCTAGCTCTCTCTGACATCTGCCTTAGGGGAGACCAGTAGTGAACCTCTTCAGTGAGGCTGATCAGAGGGAGAAGTAATTATCGGGCTGAGGAAGGGGAACGCTGCCTGGCTTGGCAGCATGAGAACACACTTGGAGTTCTTGCACACAGAAGTGGTGGGACAGTGAAGGTCATGTTTAGTCTGATCAGTCTGGCCTTCAGGAGGACTGACCAGGCGGGGAAGCTAGAGGCAAGGCCACCATGTGGCAGGACTCCAGTCATGAGATATAAGGGAACGTGTCCTAAAAAGCAGGGCTAGGACTTGATGACTTAATGCATAAAAGGATGGGGAAGAGGAACACGACAGAGATGAATCTAGGGCTTGGAGCCAGAGTGTTGGAACAACCATGCCCCTAACAGAAACAAGCAAGGCAGCGTGAAAACCTGAAGGAGGCGAGGGTCCTGAGCATGGCTGGAACATGAGGAGATAACTGGACATCCAAAGGAAATGTCCAGTTGGGAGGAAAATCTGCAGGAGGGTGGTACACACATGCACATGTGTGCCTACACCAGCCACACGGATGCTCATGTGTGCACTGCTCTCTGAGCCAGAGAGCATCGTGAGGTCTTGGGGGTCACTGGTATTTGGAGGAAAAGGTCACAGGATGCCTGCGCAATGGAAGAGGTGCACAACACTAAGAGAAGCTGGGGGAGGGATCACACAGAGCAGGGTAGGACCTCAGGGCAGATGTGCTCATGAGTTAAAGGGAAGCATGGTTTGACACAAGGTCACTGGACTTGGCCAGAAGGTGTCTTTCAAAGGGCAGTTTCAGCACCTGAGCCAATACAACTGATCCCCTTCCTGACCAGACATAACCTCTCCTGTGTGTACCATTCTGACAGTTGGCTTGCATTTGGTTTATTCTTTCATAGACAGCTGTCTCCTATTTTCCCGCCAGTGTATCATGTGTACCTCTAGCCCTGCCCGCTATGTGTGTACAGATTTTGAGAACATCCTTTTGTTCTCTCCACCTCTGCACCACCTAGCACATGGGGGGCAGCCTTCTCCATCTCAGTGAAGGACAAGGACATGCTTCCAGGTGCTCGGCTCAAATACCTCGGATCATCCTGGTCCCTCTCCTCTCATGCTCAACACCACTGAATTCAGAACCCTCATTGGACCCGACGTCTCCGCACTGCCATGGTGGTTTGAGCCTCTGTCATCTCTTGCCTGGATCATTGCAATTGCCTCCTAACCCGTTGTCCTGCCTAAGACTTGCTTTTTGGTCTGTTCCCAATCCCACAAGCAGGGTGTCCATCTAAAATCATAATCAGATCATAACAACACTATCTGCTCAAAAGCTTCCAATGGCTTCCCATTTCATTCAGAGAGAAAATTCAGTCTTCCCCACCAGGCCGACCTGGTCCGGGTCCTGGCTAGCTCTGCCACACCCCCTGGCTTGCTGGGCTTCAGCCATGCTGGCCTCCTAGCTGTCCCCCCGGCTCACCTCTCCTGCTCTGAACACCCTTCAGTAGCTTCGGTTCTCTGCTCGATTGCCATTCGACCGATGAGGTCTCCCTATATAAAAGAGCAACCCCCACCCAAACTCTGGGTACTTTCTGTCCCTTTTATGCTGCTTTATGTTTCTCTGTGGCTCTTATCTCCATCTGGCATAGTATGCATTTGCTTGTTTATTATCTATCTTGTCCAATTAGAAGTGTATCATATGCAGACAGGGAGTTTGTTTTGTTTATTGCTCTGAACCTAGTGCCTGGCACCTAGTAGGTGATTGATATGAGTTGAATGGAAGAGAAGGGAAGCTGCCATTTACAGGGCACTACTATGTTCTAGGCTGTGTCTTAAGCACTGTCACTTATTTACTCTGCAATCCTTAGCATATTACTACTCCCATTGCACAGATGAGAAAACAGATTAATAGAGACATAAATCAAAATTATTTAAGCTGAGGAGTCAGAATGGAGGCAGAGAGCAGGGAGTGAGTAGATCATATTTGACTTCAATTTGCTCTTGTTCAATTCATCCATAAAATATTTAGTAAGTACCTGAGTATATCAGACCCTCTGCCAGTTTCTGGAGATCTAAAATAGAATAGAAATTAATTCCTGATTTTCAGCCTGGTGGTGAAAAGCCATTTAAGCAAAAATTTAGAGCAATGTGATGAGTACTAGAAGAGATAGAGGAACTCATCATTCAGAAAGCATGGGTAGGAAAGTGCTTAATTCTGGAGAAGTCAGAGAAGGCTCCCTGGAGGAGGGAGCATTTTAAATGAACCTTTGAGTAAATGATTTGCATTCAAGAAAACTGGTGGTCTGTGGTAGGATAAAGGCCAAACCCTTGAGTCTGGCTTTTGGGAGCCCTCCATAACCCAGCCTCCATTCGCCTTTCCTGCCTCCCCTCCTGCCACCCCTTCATCATAAACACACACTTCTCTTTGCCTCCTGACTCCGGGTGCTGTGGCCTACCCTCGCAAATGCTTTCTCCTCTCTCTGGAATGCTCTCCTCCCCCCATTTTTCTTCATTGCTGCTCACCTCCCTGTCATCTCCTCCCCAAGATGGACCTGTGCCCCTCTCTGAGCCCCCTGGTTCCCTCCCCATAGACTAGCTACTGTCCCATTTCTGTAACGCCCTACAAACCACAGCCCCTCTGAGGACAGGTATCTTCATGGCCTTTGTCCTCGCTGCTGTGTGACATCATGGAACCTGCCACAGGCTGGACACCCATCAGACAGTTGTTGGACTGAACGGAGCCTGTGTTTGAGAAGGAAGGGCATTTAACACTGGAAGCCCCTCGTGTAGTGAGGGCAGCTGGGAGCAGGGGCTGAGCAGGCTGGATGGGATGAACTGGGCATGCCTGCACCTGGGCACGGGGAGGCCTGAAGAAGCCCAGCCTTCTGCTGAGGGACACGAGCCTTGGGGCCACCTATACAATGAGTGTCCTGGCCGGAGACCTACCTGGGGCACCTCAGAGCTAGCAGGTTGGTCACAGGGTTGAGGAACATTAGTGCCTGCTCCCTGCACACCTGGGCTATCTGTCCCTCAGCCTGGCTACCTACAGGGTTCTTCCTAAAACTGGAATGAAGCATAAAAGCAGTAGCTGGAGGGGCTGTCCCAGGCACTGGGGTGGATAAAAGTGGAATCAGAGCCTCCTTGCTTGTGTTCCCACAGTGCCCTCGGAGCATTTAGCCGTGGCTTTGTGCAGAAAGGTCTCCCAGGTACCAAGCTCTGGGCTCCTGGAAGAGTAGCTGCTAGCACGGCATCAGGTACTGATAATACCTGGATGAATGCATGCACGTAGCTAAGCTGCAGGGCTAAGTCCGAAGCAGTCAGGCCGTGGGCTCAGACTGGGGCTCCTGCCCTTCAGTGTATTCCCAGGGTCTTCTGAATCTATGAGACGTGCCTGTGAGCCAGGCCCTTTCTTCCCTGTCACAGTCCTTACCTGACTGTTGATTATCATGTCAGAAGTCTAAGAAACACCTGTAAGGTTTCCTGGGTTAAGTTCTATACCCAGCTACTGTCTGAGTATGTAACTGGTTGCTTACCTCCGTTCCCTAGTCGCACGATAAGGGGCAAAGTTAGTGAATCCCTCAGCGACCTCTCTGGGGAAATGGAGAAGTGACCCCTCAGGGCAGGGTGGTGGAGGGAAGGTGTGCTCCACTAGGAATCAGGTTAGGTGGATTGAATCCTGGCAGCACCACTTATTCGTGACCTTGAGCAAGGCATCTCTGAGCCACAACATATTAATCTATTAAATGGGGTGAAGTATATCTGCCATATGCATCTCAAAGGGTCTTCAGGAGACATGGAAGGATCCGCCTCACAGAGGGCCCTGGTGGAGTCTGCAGCCCGTGCCCCGAGGGCCTCTGTGTCCCTCCACCTGGAGGGGTAGGAGTGAGCAGCCCTGGGGCTGGGGCAGGGCTGGGTCCCCTCACATCCATTCACCTGCCATCCTCCCGGCTTCCCTGAGTCCCTGAGTGCATTTCTAAGCCAGAAGTGCCCCTGATGATCCCCAAAAGCCGCAGAGCGAACCCACAGGGGCCCAAAGCAGCTTGGTCCCCTCATTTCTCTGTTTATTTCAGAGACTCCTTCTGCCAGCCTTCCCTTCCCTCCCAGCATGCTGGGCCCGGGAGACCACGGCCTCTCCTTGTTGTGAACGGCCGATGCTCAGCCCTCCTTGGGCTGACTGTCCAGGGCCGGTGCACGGTCCTCTGCTCCTTGCCCTGGACTCTTCTGGAGAGGAAGAGGGAGAAAGGTGGCCGCTGTGCTTGGTGGCAGCATGTGGAGAGGCTTCTGTGGGGACTGGAAGGGACCTGAAAGGAGGGCCTCCCACCCCGATTTTGGAATGGCACCTTTGGAAACTCTGCTTTGGAAGGAACAAAGCTGGCCCAGGCAGGGCTGGAGACTGCTCCATTCCCACCCCTGCCAGCCCTCTTTCCATCACGCCCTATCAGACTAATAATAACAATAACAGTAGCAGAAAGTAGGTTTGAATACTGCGTGCTAGGCATTGTGCGAAACACTTTGCATGTATTATCCTAGGTAGGATATTATTATTCCCACTTTACACATGAGGTCACTGAGGCACAGAGAGGACACTTGCACCTGCTGGCAAGCAGTAGAGCCAAGATTCAAACCAAGATTCAATCCCCGGCATTTAGAATCCTGAGCCTACACTCTTAATCACCATTATATGAAAAGGAGGGGATGGCACATTAATGGAACAGAGCTACCTCTGGGCACTCAGTGCAGATGGGTGAGTGTGTGTTAGAGAGAGAGAGAGAGAGAGAGAGAGAGGTGAGTGCAGGGGAGGCAAGGGAGGGGGAGTTGTAAATGCCTGCTGACACCAGATCTAAAAAGGTAGAGCCCCCCATTTTGTCTCGGGAAACCTGAAATCAAAGTTCCCCAGACGCAGGGAAAGCAAGCTGGGACCTGAGCATGGAGCCTGGCACATGGCTGGCATAAATAATATTGGTTATGACTCAAAGGATGGATGGACAAATAGATCAATTCCTGATCTAGGGGTGGGAAGAAGGGGGTTCAAGCTCTGGCAGATTGCAGCACGTGGCCCTGGGCAAGTCTTGTCCTCTCTCTAGTCCCCTGCCCCTCTCTCCAAAAATGAAGGTGCTGGTAATAGATGCGGATTTCAGCCCTGGGCTGAAATACACTGCACAGGTTGAGAACCTGAGCTGAAGGCATCAAGCCTGCTCTGCTAACCTCCAGGGCCCTGGCTGGCTCTGGCTCAGGAAGTGTTTGTTTGAGTCAGATCGCATGCTGCCAACCCACTGCGGGGCCTGTCTGGGAACGACCGTGGGTGGTAGGGACAAAGGGCAGAGAGAACATATCTGGGTCCATCCTAGATACCTTGGGGTGCAAGATCCTCCAGCCCATACTTCCTGGAGCCGGTGGGGCCAGGCTGTCCTTCACCTTGGACTGATCAGACCTAATGTCCTAAACTCTCATTCCCAAAGGCCCTTGGGTGGAGACAGGGCCTCCAAAGCAGGACTGACTTCTCCTGCATGCAAGAAGAAATGTGGCATCTGATTTCACTCCCCACAGCCGCCAGCATAAAGTCGATATTTTTTTGTGGTGCAGACAGAGTAAAGAGAGAATAAAGTGTTGAATTGTTTGGCATTATCAAGTATTTCAGCTCCCCAGGACTCCTGCATAAAGAGATGGAAATACAGCTGCCGGAGCCAAGAAACACATAGAAGTATATGAATTTATTACATATTATCTTTCCTCCTTCCAAACAGCCCTGGAAATGTCAAAAGATCATCTATTGTTTCATCGTTGATAAAAATAATAATAATAAAAAACTGTTTGGGTTTGCTGGGCTCTATGCTCGGGCATGAGGCAGGCAGTGGGGGGAGGAGACAGAGGTGTCTTCCCAGGGCAGCCTTCAGGAGGCCTGGCCATCTTCCTAATTTCTTCCTTTCTGGGTGTTAGTTTCACAGACGTAGTCAGGCCAGGGCAAGCATGCAGTTGCACATTTGCAGGGCAGAAGCTGGCCTCTGGCCCACCTCCCTTGCTGCCGACGTTTGGCTGGGGAGAGGCTGACTGTTGGGGAGCTCTTGGCCACCCCATGTACTGGTGGAGTCATGGGGCCAAGGGGACTGAGTCAGGCCCTCAGGGTCAAGGCTGTCTCCAGCTCAGCCCCACTGCCAGGAGCTGTCAGCCTCCTGCACAAACAGTGCCTGATGGGGAAGCAGGGCAGGCAGATGTGCCCGGGAACTGCCACCTTCCCCGGCTCCCCCTCTTCTGGCTGAACACCCCTCCGAGGGATGCCCCATATCCCCTCCCCTGTGCCCTCTCCACCTGTCTTTTCCCAGGAGGGTCTCAAAAGTCAGGACCTGTCCATGTTGTGAGGACAGCAGAAGCCTCAGAGCAGCGTGTCCAGCTCCAATCTGAACCCCGAGCTCAAGCACCCAGCTCACACCCCAGCATTTAGTAATGCATATCATTGTCAAATCACTACAATCATTGTACACATGAAACCAATATAATATTGTATATCAACTATCTTTCAATTTTAAAAAAATGTTTAAATAAACAGGGAAAAAAAATACAGCTCGCCAATGTACAAGGAGGCCCATTTCATGGCTAGTCTGCTCTTCTTTTGTGAAACTGGAACATTCTTCCTGTGGCTTCCCTCTGGGTGGTCAGATTCACGGGAGCCCGCCCACTCAGAGGACGGGCCTGTGTCAGCTCAGCCTCTGGGAAGCCACAGGCACAGGCGGGAGGTGGGAGGGGGCAGCAGTGCCCGGGCCTCTGGTCTCCCCAGCAGCCCTCCTTGTCTCCTGTGCTGGGTGCCGAGCCAGGAGGAAGAGGCCTTGCACACAGAGGGCTCTAAACTTCCATGTAGGTAACAAAGACCCCAAAGCCTTAGAAGCAAGCATAACCCAAATCCCCCACTTTTGAATTCTGCTTTTTAGCTTTCATAGCGTTTTCACACTTACTTCTCTAATGTCCTCCAAACCACACATTGGGGGTATAGATGGAGTGGCATGCCCGAGGTCACAGAGCTAGTTAGTGGCAGAGGTGGCAATGGGCCCCTGGACTGAGCTTCTGATGCCAGCCCCAGGGGTCTCCCTGCCACGTCCCCAGGCAGGCCCCACGCATGGGAAAAGACGCAGGGCCTGGGGAGTCCTCCCCTGCGGGAAACCCCAGGCCCTGCTTCCACCTCCTCCATGCTGAATCAGGGAATCCAGCATCTGGGTCCCTAAGATTCCTCCCAACCTCAAGGCTCCTCCTCCATCAGAGAACTGCCACTTTCTCCTTCTGCTTTTGGGAAGCATTGACATAAGAGGAGGACAAAGCTGAATCAGCATGGCAGACCCATAGCAGGCATTGGGTTTCCATGTAGGGACAGACAGTAGGAAGATGACATAAAAAAAGATACCATCTATGCCCCTTACCGAAAGGTGGGAGGGTAGTGGGCCAGACAGGCTGCCCAGGCAGTCCTCCGCAGTGGGGCAAGTAGAGGGATGTGTTCTTTGCCAACCACTCTACCTGCCCTTCATCCATACTCCCTCCCCTACTTCCCCAAGATAGATTCGTGATGTCTATCTGAATGAGGGGCTTAGCATAGGCCAATCCCAAAAGGCTTCTTAGAGAATGCAGGGATGCTGCCAGGCTCTGGAAGTGGCGAGGGACCATGGCAGGAGGTGACCCTCTGCACATGCAGGGAGTGTGGCTACATACAGGAGCTCAGCAGCCTGCTGGATCGAGAAATGCCTCTGGGTCTCCGCAGGGAACGCTCTTCAGGTGGGGCTGCTCTGTGGAATGGGCTCACCTGGATAAAGACCAAGAGGAGCCATGCCCCTGGACTGCAGCTCCAGCCCCAGGCGCATGTTCTTGCCTAGGTCTGGCCCCGAAAGGAAGACTTTCCATTCCCCTTCCCTGGAAACCCCCCTCACTTACGGGAAGCTGGGTGTTATCTTAAGGTCTGTAAATGGCCTGCCTGCTTTTCCAGCTGGAGCTGTTCATTCAGAACAATTAGCAGGCAGTTTAGAACTGGAATGAAACATATGGCAGGGGGTCCCCAGGAGTGAGCGTGTTGCAGCCCAAGAAGGCAGGGAGCAGTCTGGGGAGGGGCAGGAGGGGGCTATTTGGAAAGGCGGGGGGACTCCAAATCTGCTGCCTGGTCCAAATACTTAGTATTGGAGGGAACGGAAGTGAGGGCTTGTGCAAATTCCTTTTGCATCCCAAGCTGTGATTCATTCCATATTCCCTAAACTGGCATTTTGCCAAAAGCCCCCTAAGCCTAGGGAATGTCTTTTCTGGAGAGCTTTAGGGCAAATATCCAGAGGTCTGTACTAGGGTGAGGGTGGGGATCTTTACTCAGCTACTCTTTGACATTCATCTCTTCCTTAAATATTGACTAAGGGCCTACTGTGTGCCAAGTACTGTCCTAGGCCTTAGAGATACGTCATGAGGAAGACAAGCCAGCACCCCTGCCCTCATGGAGTCTTCATTCTAGGCTGGAACATCAGACATAATATATAAATAAACTGGGGACTATGTTAGAAGGCAGATTCACCTTACCAGCCTACAAGGTAAGCATCATGAGCTCCTTTTTATATGCAAAGAAATAGAAACTTAAAGAGTTTATAAAAATCCGTTCAAGTCTCTGTGCTAGGAAGTGGTGAAGTCTGGATCTGAACCCATGCGGCCTGCTCACCTTGCCTCAGAAATAGACAGGACGCCCAAGCCCACTCAGACAACCTCAGGTGGTCTGGGCAGGTGACACAGCCAGACACCCCCCCAGTGGGAAGATCTAGGACATTGCCACTCTGGCCTCAGCCTTTTACAAAGGAAGAATGACCCCTGGAGATTTTGTGACCTGTCTGTCACATGGCCTGTCACACTATTAGAGAACTGGAACCTGGAGGTCCTGACACGCAGGCTCGGGTTCTGTCTACTGAACCATGCTGACTTGTCAGGTCTTCTTGGCAAACCCATGACTGCTGTTAAAGACAGCCAGCCCCCTGCCATCTCCCTGCATCCCTTTCTGTGGCAGAGACGCTGCACACCCCTCTGGTCTCTGGTGCACAGCTCATCCCGCTCCGGGGGACTCAGGGTCTACACAGGAGCTGAGCCTCGGAGCCTCCCCTGGGCTGTGATTTGGCGCTACTGGAAAGGGGCCGCTGAGCAGTCTGGCCACCCCACCCCCAGCCCAAGTTTCAGGGCGCTCAAAGGAGTGGCTATAAACAGGTGTTAGGTGTCTTGCAGGGCCAGGAGCTAAACAGCACTCTGTCTGGAAGGAAAACTGCAGTCACAGCATGGGGTGGGGGGGTGCTGGAAAGGTAGAGGGGAGGGGAGAGAAGAGGGAAACTGACTGTAAGGCAGTGGTTACGAGGCGTCAGTGGGAGCCCAGGGCAGGTAAAGCACAGAGCTATAAATCCAGCCTCCTGAAAGAATATTCTGGAGATAGGAGACGCAAGCTCACTTAAAATATGTCTGAGATGAGAATCAAAGATCGTTATTTTTGAGTAAGGATATAAAATGCTAAACACTACCTTTATTAGTCCTTCTAAAAGCCAGGTATAAAATATTGCCATTCCCAAGATTGTGTTTTTCCTTTTTTTTTTTAAACAGCAGAAATTATAATCTCCTTAAGCCATTAGCCATCACTCCTTAAGGTGAGCCCCCCAAGTGGTTCTGCCAGGGACCCTTCCCCTCACCTGGGAGGTATGGTGGCCGCCCACCAAGCCTTGCACGTCCTGCGCCTTGGACCTCCATTGGCACTGAATGCCCGCCTAGCAGCACATGGCTAAAAAGGCTGAAACATTTTATGGATCTGCCCCAGGAGACCCTGTCTCCCACCAGTTGCCCATTTGGCCAGTTGCTCCCCACTCACAAATATCTAAGCTGAAGATGCTCCGCCTGTTGGAGCGCTGCCAGGCAGACCTTCCCCAGAGAGAGCAGCCCTCCATGGCTCAGCCCAGGTGCTCTCAGGTGGCACCTCTGCTCCAGGGCCACTTCTCCCCATGCTGGCTCACTTTCTTCTTTCCCACTCTGTCTTTATTTCTTTTTCTTTCTCTTTTCTTTCCATCAAAGGCTGATGCTACCAGAGAAAAAGTTCATAAAAATGTTATGTCCACCATAAAACCCCTAATGTGGCATTCTGCATGATCCATGCATTAACATTAACATTTCCCAGACAGTTATTGTGAGATAATGGTCCCAGCTATAATTCAGCGGTAACGTTCCTCCGAGCAAATGTTATGGAGGAATAAATGAGTTGCCGAGTGTGCTGCCGCGGCGGGGGGTAGGGAGAGGGGAGCAGCTTGGAGATGCCGCCTCTGGGCCTCTGGGACCGCGGCCCCACTGTGGAGGGGTCCGGGGCGCACCTAGGCCTGACCACAGGGCCTCCGTGGACCACGAGGCCAGGCCCCTCTGCTCCATTGCTCTCACCCAAATCCTATCTTTCTTCTCCATGTTCTATTGGGACAGAAAGAGGATTCCAGGCCTCAGGCTCCTCCACAGGGCTAAATAGGCAACGGGGGACTTCAGTATGTTAACCAGCATCATTCTCCCCTCACCCCTCCCTGTGGTCCCATCCCAGGTCACACTCATCTCTGGTACAGCTCTTACCACCTTGTATTTTTATTTGTTATTCATTTACATGGCTGTATCCCCTGCTATAACCCTTCTTACAAGCAGGGGACATCTCTCTGCCTTCTAGGTGCCCTTGCACAACGTAGATACTCAATAAATATTGGTGGAGAGTGAGGATGCAAAGATGGACAGATGGATGGGTGGATGGATGGAGAGTTGGATGAATGACAATAGAACACGATCCAGAAATGAAAGCAGACTATGAGATGAACAGGCTTTGGCCTTAGTAATAAAGGGGAAAATGCGTTAAAACAACATTTACTGAACAAAATCATAAGGGAGTGATTTGACTGGAACCTCACGGTCTGCCGCTGCATTCGTCTGCCTCCTCAGGACAGGAGGCCCAGAGGAGCTGCTGACCGAGCCAGGCCTAGTACTCGGGCCCACCAGTCCGGTGCTCTACCAGCTACCATCTTGCCACTAATATGCAAGGCTAATAATATGCAAAAAAACACTTTTCTGCCCTCAAGGAGTTGCTCCCTGGTGGAGTAGACAGATCAGGCCCAAATACCACTGACCATGACTCAAGGCAGAATATGGTGGGTGCAGTGGTGGGAAATGTTTGCAGGGTGGAGATTAAATGGGGCCACAAATGATATGGACCTCAGAGGACGAGAAAGGCCGGAAAAAAGGCAAACATGGGGGGAGGAAAGACTTTGGGGAAGAGGGAGCCGTGTGGGCAAAGGTGCAGAGATGGCAGGAAACAATCTCTCACAAATACTTAATTTTCATCAATGGGTTTTGAGTGCATGTTCCCAGCAGTCTGTTTGGTTACTGGGTTGGCCTTCCTTAGAATGGGCCCCTTTATTGCTGCTTACTGCCCCTCCTGACAGGCCCTCAGCTTGTGGGTCATGCCCTCGGTCATGATGGTCAGCTCTCTGGCTTCTGCCTGGGCTGAGCCTTGCCAGCTTCACTGGCCTCTGAGCTCCAGGAGGAACGGCTCCTCCCAGGGATGGCAGCCACACCTTTGCTGTCCTTTCCCACCTCTGCCCAGGCTGCTCATGTCTTAGGGGAATATTAAGCAGCATCTCCTCCCGGGAATGTTGGGATGGGGGCGGGGGGGGAGGGAAGGTGGAAAACAAAAGCACAAGGGGAAATGTTGGCTCTTTGCCAAATGCCCTATGTCAGGACCCCTGTGCTCTCTCCCTTGAGCAGTCCCAGAATGCAGGACCAGCTGTATTATACCGGTGAAGGAGACCGTGACCTCCACAGTGCCTTTGCAGGACCTGGAGAGGCTCTGTTCCAATCAGAAGCATCTTCCTTGCTCAGGGGTCTCCTAATGTCGTAGACCTGGGAGGCGCCTCAGAGGTCAACGGGTTTAACCGGCCTTGCTGTGAGGGGCCTCCAGGAGGCAGGCTTTTGTTCTCTTCCTAATAACTCCCTGTGGAGGCAGCTCTTCCATTCTGGGCCAGCTCTCCCTCACATGAAGGGGACCTTTGTCTCTCTGTCACTTCCACCTTTCAGCCCTAGCTCTGCTTTCTGGGCAATACAGTGTCAGACCAGTGCCTCTTCTGCTCCACATAACAGTCCTCCAAATACTGAAGACAGTGCTCATGCTCCACGCCAGGTCTGCTGTTCTGCAGATACTGACCTTCCATCAACATCCTGACCCCCTCCCCAGGTGGCCTCCGTATTATCAGTGTCCCCCTTACGAAGAACTAGCTCCCGAGTGTGCTCTGAACCATTGCCTCCTTCAACTGAACTTGTATGAACACAGCCTAAGATTTCAATTGCCTTTTTTTTTTTAGCGACCACATCATCGTACTGGTACCTATTGAATTTTCAGTTAGACTTCTTTTTTCCAAATGCTTTTAAACTTCATCTCCCTCCCTTGTGCAGGTTGCATTTCACTCTCACAGTATAAATGTATACGTCTCTGCTCCACATCATCTCCTTACCTTTAGTCTGTGTCTCCTGCCTTACGAACTCTTTCTCAGTCTTAATTCTGTCATTAAATACATGAGCTATCCCCTCAGCGTGTAGAGGAAACACACCTTCTACATCAAACATATCATTGGTAAAAATGCTCGGCAGCACAAAGCTGGTTACTTCAAGATGGGGAAAGACCTCCCTCTGACTGAAATCCACTCTTCTGGACTAACCAAGAACAATCACGGTCTGGCTAAAAGGCCACCTACCTCCCTGTTTCCCGGTCAGCTGCCCTTCCAGCCTATCCTATCTTACCCAGAAGGCTATCTTGGAAGATGTTATCATATATCTTGCTGAAATCAACATACTTTGCAGAGTTT